CATTGATTGGCTTGTTGCATTAATGTCCAGCAATGATTGAGCTGATTAAGTTATGTGCATTAATACAGGTTACAAACTATAAAAAATGATTTTGAATAAAGTTATGATTAAAATGATCTAAACTTTACCTTTGGCATGATGTATAAACAAAAGAGGTCATAATAAAAATGGTTTAGGATGTTCACCTGATCTCTGTCAAGAAATGCAACGTTTTGTAATAATTGTGTCATTTGAGCCATGTAAACAATGAAATTGTTCAATAATATTTAAATAACATAATTTACTGAGAAGTTTAAGAAAGGACAACTATTTTTACTGTAAATTTAAGCTCCTTTAGTCATATATAAATAATTGATTTAGATTGTTTAAAGTTTTAAACATGCAAATTATTTAATTAGTTATTAGTTAAACACGAAGGGTTTGTTTTTCCAGTGCAGGTAAAATCTCTGAGTATTATGAATAGAAACCTACAGACAACAGTTTCCAGTTTAAACACAGATTAACTCTTCAACAGTGATATGCTCTGGATTACACCATCTGTTGTTTACAAGGACCCCCTTCTCCTTATTTGTGTGCTCAGTGTGCAGTCTGAGCAGATGCTAGTCAGAAATATTTTTCTTCTACTTTTGGCAGCTCTCTTCGTCAGGGGTCACCACAGTGAGCGAACTCGCACAAAGATTGTGCAGTTCTTTCACGCAGGTTGTCCTTCCTGGTCAGGGGTTAATTTGAGCCGGATCATGCCAGAACAAGATCTAGGAACTCTCATTTTGACAGGGTGCGTTCTGGCAACTGTTTGCTTGGATCCGGCAACTCAAATCTCCGCCCCTAAAAGTCCAAAGTCATTGCACATTTTTATTTTGATTATTTATTAAGAAAACAACAAGAGGAGACGTTGTCCAATCTGTGGAGTGGATTTTCCAGATGCAGCACGCGCAGCAGCTCGCTAACACGCTCCTGCCCAGGCTGAAAGGAGCAGCCACTGGAGGGGTGGGGGTGATGGAGTGACAGGATGGTCACATTTATGCACGGCGGTGCTGCACGGAGCCCCTTGCCTGTGGAGCTGGTCTGCAGCCGCTCAGGGTGGATGCTTGAGTATGAAGTCTGAACCCTCTGCGGACAGTGCACGTCGAGTCCGCGCAGAAACTTTTACGTACATAAGTAAATACTTGATACAATAACTATATTAGAGTAGCCTGACCAACCCCCCCCCCCCCCCCATCGACAACTGTCAGCACTAAGCTAACGACGCGCAATACAGAGGCACTAGGTGAAATGCTACAGATGTAGCGGCGCTCCACTTCTCTAACGCATCCTACAAAAAACCCACCTCGGTCAACAACTGCTGGCACTAATGTAGCGCTAAGCTAGCATGCAACACAGAGGTGTCTCCCCCTTCTCCCCCTGCCTCGTAGACAAAAACCACTCAGAGATTAGTTCTCTGCCAAGGCAAGTGACCTCGGGGAAACACTGCATGCGATGTGGTGAGTTGTTGTAGGTAATCAGGAAAACCTGGAGTGGACTTTTAATTGTTTGAGTATTCTCCTATTAATCAAGTGGAATGGATTTGTTCACAAAGAAATAGGGACAGCACTGGGTGAACTAATATTTAATGGTAAATGTGTGTGTGTGTTTGTGTGTGTGTGTGTGTGGGGGGGGGGGGGGGCGTCCCCTTCACATTTAATTGTTGCGATGCCTATGCTTTGTACCCAAGGTGGGTATAAAGTGAGTGGGCTGAGGATGTGGATGAAGAGTGCTGATAAATAATGTGCACAGCATAGACTGCAGCTTTTCAAGCCGTGCACACAAAAATAAGTTAAAAAGATGGCAACTCAGTCACAACCACACAGCTTGCTGCTGACTCCTTAACTAACCTTTATTTATCCAGGCAAATCCCTTGGACATCACATTTCTGAACATGCATGATTTTGGACTTCAGAAGGAAACCCACACAAATATGAGGAGAACATACAAACTCCACACAGAAAGACCACAAGTCCAAATAATTGGTCCCAGGACTTTCTTGTTGTGAGGCAACAGTGCTAACCACTAAGCCGTTCCGTTATGCTGTCCACTTGGTTACAAATGCCAGCGGCTTCGGATGTTATCAGGTCATTAAATGGCCGTTATTAGTTGTTATCATTCCCATATGTAGCAGTCAGACTGTCCCTCCTACCTCCTACTAGATTTAAAGGTACAGTATTATCGTTATTATCGCTGATAATAGGCAGCGTTGCACGGGGGTAAACCGGGAAGTGTTTTTTTTTTTTTTTTCAGCTTATGTAACCCTTTTCCTAAACCTAACTTTACACCTGACCCAGAGGAACAACCTTAAACTTAACCCCCTTACCCATGTGCCTAAACCTAACCAAGACCCTAAACCTAACCCCCAGACCCTTTACTCTAAGGCTCTATTTACACGGACACGATGGGGGGAAACGTGGATTTTTTTCGTATGTTAATTAGAGGAAAAGATTTGCATTGACACGGTCACATTTTGGGTTTACATGCATCTGGAGGATTCCCCCACGCACTCCTGAATCCGCTGTAGTTACCATGCCAGGTCATTAGATGGCGCTGTGAATTTTGTACCTTCACCTAATGCGCATGCGTGCTGCCTCGGCACGTTGTTTTCCTCTGGGCTAATCAGCTAACAACAACGTAACGACAAGTTAAAGGTGGATTCTGGAAAAGAGTCGACAGATTTGACGCCAAGCGGGACCGCTTCGTCTAACAGCTCCACACCGGTCGCTGAGTGGATCAGAACCGAGTCGGCTATGTCGGACTTTACTCCATGATAATCAGTAGCTGTTTTACAGTTAGCTTGTTGTTTACTTCGGTTACAAAACAACCAACTGAGTTTTTATTTTTCACTGAAAGTAGAAGAAGCTGTCCTCCCACCAGATTCTGAACGAGGCCCAGATGAACTGCAGGAGGACGTCGAAGAGAGATGTTGATTAACTATTTATTTAAAATTCCCCTCAGTTCTTTTATTCAATCCATTCAAGTTCAGTTAACGTGTTTTAGTAGTGTGTTCAGTTTAATTATCAGTGTCTGTGACATACAGTTTGTGGTGTTGAATAAATAAATAAAAATTAAACTTGATGTCTTCATTTTCAATTTTAGTGTTCACACTACATGTTTAGCATCATTTTAAATTTGAATTACATAATATCCAGATAGCTTCAATTAGCTCAGAGCTTCTTATATTTCACACTAACATAAATACTGTTTATTATAATTAAACTGTTATTATTTAGCACATTTAGTATGTTATAGTGCAGCGCGACGTGTGCACGTGCCATGTTCTATAAACAGCGACATTAGAACTGGATCTGACTGTGTCTCTTCCAACACAGATGTCGGTCACAGCACCTGGAATATGACGTAGATTAATTACGAGATTAAAAATATATTCCATCAGTCGTAGTTCTGAAAGCACTGTCCGCCGCCATGTTGATAGAAATATAGCGTCTGTCCACGCGAGCGTGTGCCCATGTGGTTTAACACAAAGCCTCAGCGGGAGATGTTTACATTAACAGCAGCGGGTCAGCGAAAAACCTCCACTCTGGAAGGTGGGTTCAGAAACCTCCGGATTCAAAGAGGGGGGCCACTGGTGTCGTGTAAATGATCAGCAGAACCACAGAGAGAAACCTGTGGATGCACTCAAAATACGCGCCGTGTAAACGGCCCCTAAACCTAACCACGTGAGCCTATTATGAGCGCTAACAATGCTAACAACATAGCCTATTATCATCGATAACAACGCTAACGATGAACCTTTAAACCCACTAGGAGGTACAGGAGGTGCAGTCTGACCACTACATATGGAGATGATAACAACCATTTAATGGCTGATAACAGCTGCTCAAATTTATTTATTTATTTATTTATGCAAGTTTTAGTCCCCAGCTTAAGCAGTCCCTGCTCAGTGAGGCACTACCTTAAGGTTCCACCTGTGGCTCCATCTCCATATCAATTCTTGTTTTATACAGTAAAGATAAACAGATGGACCTTTCATTTAAACCTTGCTAAAAGAAGAGCATTCCTTCCTCTTTCCATAACAACAAGCAGCATCTCACAGCACAGAAACTCCTCAACGCTCCACTGCAGTTTCCATCTACTTTAACCTTTACTAACCTTTCTCCACCATTCTCCTCTTTTTCTTCATCCTGCCTCATTACTCCATCAGTCCCGGCCCTGGTGAATGTCAGCTTGGCTGTTAGCAGCAGCTTTGCAAATATCAGCTGGATGTCTGGAGGAGAGCGGCCAGAGTTTTACATAGCATATATGAACAAACGTAAGCCCTTCTGACCTCTTTTTTTCCTCCAGTTTATGATTATAATAGAGTAGAGCAGAGCAGTGTGTGTATCCTCTAGGTCTTTGTGATTCCTTGAGAGCTCCATCTGTTCTGCTTTAGTGTGTTTCCACGAGTGCTGAGCATAATCCTGACCATCACCCCTCTGCGCAGGTGAGGGTCACTGGAAGATATCAGAGACCCTAAACTCTTCTTTGACTTTCTACATCATTGACGGACTCGAACCTGAGACTGTGTACATTGTGCGGCTCATTCAAAACAGCGGGATTGATATGTCTATTATTTTTGAAGAGGTTTTCACGACCCCGTCTACAGGTGAGAAGGGACACTGAGACAAATAGAAAAGGAATAGTAAAGTAGACGATCGACCTCCCGTTGAAAATAATTTAGCTGCTCCCGGAGCGTCCTTGAGCTGCAACTCAAGCCAGAGCATGTGGTCCTTTCTGGTGTCACTGGAATCTAATTTGACTCGCTAAGAGGAATTACATTTGTTCAGCGTTCCTTGCTTGATTAATTAGACAAGCAGGATTAGCTGTTTAATATTAATACTGGAGTGCTTCCATCAGCAGTGCCCTGACACCGCCAGCCTGTGCATCAGATAAGCTTTGTCAATGTAAACATTCAATCAAGTCTCCTGATGAAAAGGCCAAGGCGAGTCAAAGTCACAGAGTTTTGTTCTCCTCAGGTCTGGCCAGCGTCCACCACGGAATATCCACCCAGGGCTGGTTTATTGGCCTGATGTGTGCCATCGCTCTTCTCACACTCATTGTCTTGATCGCCTGCTTTGTCAACAGAAATAAAGGAGGGAAATATTCTGGTGGGTACTCACAAACACACACATCATCATCTTGTTTGAATACAAATTGCCAACTAAAGCTTCATTTTAATTCCATTTGGCTGTTAATGTGAAAATGATGATCAGTCATTCCCGAAGATATTATAAGAATATGTAAGACCATTTTTTCCAGACCACAAAGCTTTTTTTTTTTATCCAATGTAAAATAAACAGCTGCCTTGGTTGTAAAATTAGCTTCTTTTTTTTTTTCTGGATATTCTACATTTGAAATGTGTATGTTTGAGGACGTGTGTTAAAGAGTACAGTGTAAGCAAAGTGCAGGCCGCAGCAAGATAAAAATGCAAATCCTGCACTTGAGGTGGCTCTAAAAAGGAATGATGACACAAGCTCTGTGGTATCTGAGTGTTTGTTGTTCCTCTTATAGGAGGAAAGAGAGTCCTTATCAGCTTTATTATTCACAGCTAATGGCCATCAGGTTGTTGTCGCTTCACTAGTCAGCAGGAAAAAATGAGAGAGACAGCTTTGTGTGTCCTCATTAAGCTCCCATTAACAGTTCTAACAACATTTTCTGTCTGTTCTTTGAGGCCCCGTCTGCAAGGACTTTATTATTATCATTTTTTGTGAATATGTAAAAGTTTTTATTGCTTCAGCTTTGCATCCACATAGGAACTGTATTTTAGGAGCCCCTAAATGATACTTTTTAAAAGCTAAGTTCCATAGTGACAAAACACTTAAATGCAATCCTCTCGTTTGTGTGTGGACTTTAAAACTGCAACCCTTTTAAGACAGTGATGTTAGAGACACAGTTCCTACCTAACCTTTGACCCCAAGCATGACAAGTAAATACAGATGACATGCTTATATTTATGTTGCAGACGCTAGTATCATTCCGTATTACTGTATTTCAGCGAACAGACAAAACTGAACAATTGACACTGCCTTAAATAGAACAGAGCATGAAGCACTTATTACCAATTGATCTAAGCCTAACAAGGCTTTATCAATTTATTGAAGTGTCTACAATACGATAACAAACATTGTAGAAATTTGAACATATACGTTAAGCATCCATCTAAAAAAGGCAGACACGTTTATGAAAAAATTTACCCCAATATCCTGACATTCTTTGAAGATCATTCCTCCTGCTGTCCCTCACTATATTCTGTGCCTGAATTACCGTAATTTCCGGTCTATAAGCTGCTACTTTGTCCACACACTTTGAACACCGCAGCTTAAACAGTGCTGCGGCTAATTTATGTTGTTTTTTTTGACGAGCTAACGAGCGTCATGCTGCTAAAATTAACTTTGTCACACCCGGGTGCTCACATGGCTGCCTAATACACGTCTCTCTTAGGGAGTGGGTTCTCATGACTCAAAGAGACTACCTGTATATATAAAGGTTTAAAAAAATCTGACCAGTGAAATTACTGAACAGATCACAATGGACCAATTTTCATTGGTCCACTGGGGAGCGGGGAAAACTTATTTTCACCCCCTCTCCATTCTCTCCTCCCCTCCTCATCCCTACGGGAGTATCTCCCCTCATTGTACACAAAGAAGTATTTACAGCCACTCGAAATAAGTGTGAATCTCAAATCAAATCGCGACTTTTCCTCGAGACAAAAGTGATGTTGAGAGCGACAATGAAAGAGAGACTGAGGACGTGTGGGATGACATTTTTCTGAGGATGTTCAATTCTGATACTGAAGAAGATGACTTTAGTGGTTTTACTGTTCAGAAAAAAAAAAGTTTTCTGTATGTATTTGTGTATGTATGTATTTATTTAAAAGTTTTAAAAAATCTTTCTGTGTATATATCTTATGTTACAATATGGACACATGCGGCTTATACAAAAGTGTGGCCTATATATGTACTTTAAAAAAAAAAAATAATTAAGTGGCCACGGCTTATATTCAGGTGCGCTCAATAGTCTGGAAATTACGGTAATCTGTAATGTTCAGCATCTGGACTGACACAACGTCCAGTCAAAACTGTCTTGCACATTTTGGTTTTGCAGTTAAACAGCAAAATGACTCAAAGTAGAAGTTTAAAAAAAATAATAATAATTCTTCATGTTGCACGTACAGTTCAAACCATGGACTTTATAGTAAAATACATACAGTCTATAGTTTGTGGATGTGCAAGTTTTATGTTCATGCTCTGAGTTGTATTTCCTGTTTTTGGTGTTTTTTTTGTTTCAGCATTACAGTGCCACATTTTTGGTTGTTTTCTGTGTTTCCATGTGAACAAAAACATTTCTAGAAATTATGCCATGTTTACCAGGATGGTTTTAAAAACAAAACAAACAAAAAAAAAATCAACCATTCCATGTGGACAAGGCCTGAACTGAATTATTTTTTGTATATGTCATTTCACATTTCTATCATTCCTATAATGACATGACCATTTCTCTAAAATATGCTAACTAAAGCTTCAAACAAAGTTGTTTGTGTAAAATTCTGAAATCGGTGACAATCTTTTTGAAATGCTGGCAGGAAGCCAAGATGGTGTAGAGGCAGGGCAGCCGACTCGGGACCTGAAAGTCCCAGTATCAATCCCCTGACATTGCACATCTCGTGGTGTCTCTGAGCAGCACACCCTATCCCCAAATGCTTCCAGGGTGCCTTTAATAGCTGCCCACTGCACCACCTGACGGTGGATGGGTTAAATGCAGAGAGACAATTTTGCCATTGTATGGGAAAATACAATGAGGACAATACATAACATGTTATTATTATTATTAATAGTTCAAGTGGAAGACATTAGTTAGAATTATTCAGAGTAGTTGCTTACTTCCAGTCATCTCTTCTGGACATCTCTGATCTCTCCTCTTCTTTTTGTGAGCAGTTAAAGAAAAAGAAGATCTTCATCCAGATGTGGAGTCCCAAGGCATGAACGACGACACATTCTGTGAATACAGGTAAGAAAACACTGCCTCACTGCTAGTGAGTGTATGGATTTCTCATCCTTTTTTCCATCTTCTCACAGTAATTCTCTGCCTTTTTCCTCTCACTGAAAAAGCCTTCCCGGTACCCAAAAGGTTCACGAGGAGCCTCACACCTCTTCAGACGACATTTGATGGACTGAGTAATTGCATAGTATGTGATGAACAAAGATAGTGAACTGTTTACACCTCGTCAGAGTAGTTGTTCTTAGATTAAGTGTTATGTCATTAAAGTAAAGTAGCTGAAATGCAGTCACGGTGCTGCTCAAATGTTACCATTTTCTGTGCGGATGGAGCTGAAATCGGGCTGCCCAGCACCCGGCAAGAAGCTGAAAGCAATCAGTGTAATTGAATGCAGCTCATCTCCAGGGCAGTAATATCAGGGCACGTCTCATTAATCCTTTAGTGGTCCTATTCATAACAGTCTACCACAGTGTGAGTCCCAGTCTAATCCTCCAATCAGTGGGATCTGCTCCACACAACAAATGCTGATGTGATGAAGTTTAAAGTGGCTCAGTATGACAGCATTTATATTTGATCATCTTCACTTCAGGAGCCTGTTGCATTCTCCTTAGAAAATTTGTTGGATTTTTATCAACTATTACCAAGTTTCAAATTAGTGGTTTGCTTCTATTGGTACAACCAATAAGGGTAAAAATGTTGTAAAGTAACATCCTTTTATTCATAGAAAACCTAAAGTAAGCCAGGTGCAGCATTATGTGGTAAAGTTATGCAAATATGATTTATTGCAAATAGTTTATTTTTTTTTTACAATGCACATCTTTGTAAAGGAAGTTTAAAATGACTGACAGCACTAAGTCTAACTTCTCACACAGTGTGAACAAAAGAATAATGGGTAATTGTTTAGTACCCTAGTTTGTGACCATGAAGTATTTACTGAATGTAGATCTGTGTTTAAGTATAATACTGGTAGTAAGACTGACCATGTGGATATAAAGATGTATAGCTGTATTTAGTATTTACTATATAATCACGATATTGTTAGTATTTAGGACTTTTAAGACAAAGGTTTTGTCCACAGCTACGACATATGCAGCCTGGTTTATCTGATCAGAGGCAAACAGTATAAGTGTTAGAGTAAAAAGACTCCTCAAAGGCCAATACGATTAGATTTCAGTGACTTTTGTTAATATCAAAACAGTTATTACACTGGTACTCCACCTATTTGTCTTTTTTTTTTTTTTTACAGAAAACAGGCTATTTTTAAACAGTTTAATATAAGATGATTCACTGAGACTTTAGCTTAAACTTTGTACTTTCAACAGTATATTAGCTCACTGTTTGTGTGGGGTCAGTTCAGATTTGTATATATATATATATATATATATATATATATATACACTCAAATAATTTGGGTGTGTTATAACTGTCTTTTTCTGATTTCATCTCCACAAGACGTGTTAGTTCCAGGTCTGAATGGGGATTCAATTTAAATTTGATTCATTGTATTTATATAACGCCAAATCACAACAGAACTTGTCTCTGGGGAATGTAAAAAAACATTCACATAGATACAAAAAGCCAATTAGTAAAAGTTATCTATCTAAGGATGCCAGACTCGTTTAATCTTCACTTCTTCACAGTCTCCCATCCTGAGCAAGCACAAAGGAGACAGTGGAAAGGAAAAACTCCCTTTTAACAGGAAGAAATCTCCAGCAGCACCAGGCTCAGGACAAGCAGCCATCTACTTCGGTTAGCTGGGTTTGAGAGGACAGGAAGGAGAAATAAACGAACACAGAATGACAGGTCCTGGTGTACCTGAAAGACAAAAACACATCAAGGATAGAAGAAAAAATTACAAATACAAAACAGGTTGAGCAGAGAAAGTAAAGACAGTAGCAAAGTAAAACAATGTGGTCTGTTTGTCCTCCAGCAATCTAAGCCTATAGCAACATAATCAATTGCTCAGGAAACCCAAGCCAACCCTAACTATAGGATTTATCAAAAAGGAAAGACTTAAGCCCAGTCTTAAAACGTTGGTTACGTACTGTAACCCCAGATTCTATGAGTATAGGTGCAGCCCTTTAAGCTATCGCTAGTGGGTTTATCCCTATGCGCGCAGCACTGAAAAATTTAGTTCACGCCCACCTACTGTGTGGGCCTCATCCCCGGTCCGTATAAATTATGGTGAGACCGGGTAATCGGCTCCCAAATAACTTTTTTCTTCAGCCATTTAGGAACCAGTGAGGCCCAGAGCTTAAAGGGCTGCACCTATACTCATAGAATCTGGGGGTACAGTACGTAAGCAACGTTCTATTTCGAATACCATACCATACCACTTTATTTATAAAGCACTTAAAACAGCTACAAGGCCAACCAAAGTGCTGTACAGACAAAACAACAGGTAACACACAAAGCAAAATACAAAATGAGGTAAATCAGAATATAGACATAAAAACGATGCAGATAATGACGACAAACCAGTGTGGAGCATACAGGATCAAAACACAGATCATCTGGTGTTGAAAGCTACTGAATAGTAGTGAGTTTTTAAATGGGACTTGAAAACCGAGAGGGAGGGGGCCTGTCTGACAAACAGAGGTAACTCGTTCCAGAGTCTTGGTCCTGCTACAGAGAAGGCCCTGTCACCTCTGCGCTTAAGACGACTTCCTGGAACTGTGAGGAGCAACTGGTCCGCTGACCTCAGGGAGCGTGGTGGGTATAGGCTTCGCCCTTTAAGCTATTGCTAGTGGGTTAAAGGTGTAGTAGGATGTAGTCTATGCCTCACTGGGTCCACTCAGACACAACATGAAGCACCAACTTGCACAAAAAAACATTTAATCACTCAGCCTTCTGTGTGCGTAATTGCGTGCTCCATGCGCAGGAGCGCACCGGAGAAAAGATCTCTGGTGAGGAAAAAAGGCTGAGATAGCAGACCTGCTGCTGTGAATATGAACAACGGAGGATATGAATTGTAACAGTGTAACGATAAACAGAGCAGACCAACAGCTCCTCAGGATGAACCGATTAATAACGATAAAATCAGCAGTCATGAACTTGTGACTGAGAATAAATATCTCACACTGCGACTACATGCAGGCAGGTGTGAGCTCAAAAGTGAGGCTCCATGAAACAAATAATAATCATTCTGTCAGAACCCTGAGAACAGAATGTGTCATGGAGAAAGTAGAAACATCACCTAGATAAAAAAACGAATAATTGAACATGGAGATGACCCGGCAGCCGCCATACAAAAATCCTCCACTGTCATCCTTCCATGCAGAGCCATGAAGGATGAAAACCCTCTGGTGGAATGCGCTGAGATTCTCTGGAAGATCCAGTCCAGATGAACTGTAAGCTTCAGAAATAGCCTCACACAACCAGTGTGAGAGGCACTGGGTGGATAGAGGACGTCCTGAAGAGCTGTCCCAGTAATGTAAGAACATACGCTGAAAGCAGCGCAGTGCGGCCGTGTGCGCCACATAACATGAAAAATGCGCGCATGGGACAGAAGGAGGTGAGATGTTGCTTCCTCCTCAGAATTATGAGGAAGAGGATAAAACACATCCAAGGTTATCACTCTCGATCTGAATGAGCTTGTGATGCTTTTCAGAGCAGGGTTAAAACGCAGTACAGCTGAACTACTGTCAGCTTGAATTCTGAGACATGAGGGAGCAACAGAAAGAGCAGATAATCACTCACTCTCTATGCCGACATCAGAACTAACAGCGGGGCTGTTTTTAATCACAGAAAATTAAAGTGAAAACTGATCTAAAGGCTCAGAAGGAGCTTTGATCAGAACGTGCAGGACCATCATTAGGTCTCACTGTGGACTTAGTAGACGTGACACCGGTCTGTGTCTCCGTACACCTTTCAGGAAACGCTTCATCAACAGATGATTAAGAACTGTTTTGTCACCGAAGCCCTCGTGACAGGAAGAAATAGCTGCAGCATAAGTTTTAATTATGCTGAACGCTAGATCTCTGTCCATCAGCTGCTGTAGAAAAGACAGCATGCCACCTAGTGGCCATGAGATGGTGTCCACGTCTTTCTCTGCATACCAGTGCTGAAAAACTGTCCACTTGATGTGTACAGCGTTGTGGTGGAAGCAGCTCGTGCGCAATGAACATACGCACCACATCCTGTGGGAGGCCAATCTTTTCTAAACAGATCTGTTCAGCGGACAGACCCAAAGATGCTGACCTTTTTCTGGTAAACTCCTGATCGCTTTTCCTGCCTAGAGGAGAGCGCCTCCTGGAGATGGCTGAGCATCCGCTCGGCCACTCGTCTTCCGTCACTACACTCTCCAGGAGGGAAGGAGCAGCTCCGCATCGCCTTTCTCGGAGGAATCTTTCAATTCACTGTGTGACTCTGCGTCAAAGAAGGCGGTGGCGTCGTCCCACGCATAGCGTCCCACCACAGAAAAAAACACTCAGCGGAGCTGCTGCCAACAATGCCTTTTTCGAGAGAATCATCCGATTCACCTCAAGAAAAAAATCACGTTAGAAAAGGCGGTGGCGTCGTCCAGCGAGTAGCGGTCCTCCACGGAAAAACATTCAGCAGGGCTGCTGCTAACATCGCCTTATTCGAGGAAATCATTCGATTACGGCGAGGAAAAAACACAGTAGAAAAGGTGATGGCGTCGTCCAGCGGGTAGCGCCGCCACGGAAACGCGCTCCTTGGCGCTTACCTTGAACAAGGCTGCTCGTCTCCGCTTCTCCTCGGGGAGGAAGAGCTCACCGGGACGGCAGGAGGTTGGCGTGGCGGAGACCCAGGCATCCTTAGCAAAGGTTGTGCCAGTCAAAGCTGGACAACTTTTCCTTCTTCGTTCTTCTGACAGTGCTAGCTAGCTGGCTGAAGAAAAAATGGGAGCCGATTACCCAGTCTCACCGTAATTTATACGGACCGGGGATGAGGCCCACACAGTAGGTGGGCATGGATTAAAGTTTTCAGTGCTGCACTGTGCGTATAGGGATAAACCCACTAGCGATAGCTTAAAGGGCGAAGCCTATACG